TTGAGCGTTATATGAACACAAAAATAGAAAATGGAGCGTAGAAAAAAGAAGCAGGTCATGGTTTGGCCCGAGAGTATGCAGATCGTCGAGATCCAACCGATATATGGCAACGGTGCCAGAGTAGATGATAAAGGTGCACTTAGATCGCGAAGGCGGGCCAACTTATCGTCGCTAAATCGTGGCGCTTTTATCTGACGCTTTCGGCCAGGGAAAAAAGGATGGCTTCCACCACTGCAGACAGCGCCATCAGGCTCTTTCTGGGGGCAAGGTGTACACTGTCTTCCGTTGATCCTGTTCCTTGCTGTATGTGGGTCAGCAGACGCAGTAGCCTGCCACTTTCTGCAGTCAAACCTGTACAATAACTTTGCCTCAGAGTAAAGACCTCTCCGTCGCGAGGTGCCTTCTCCATGCCCAGCGCTGCAACACTGCCGGCTACCCTCTAGCTATAGCCGAACGAGCTGCTTTTCGCGTTTTACCTATAGTTGTTCTCTACCGCTGAGTGCGTGTTTTGCTTGGAAATTCGGTATCGACGCAGGTGCTGCACACCGAGAATAGCACGGCGAAGTATGGAGACGGCTCAGGCATCGTTACCCTTTAACCATATTCCCGTGCAATTTGAGCAGATAAAGTGGCACGCTACTGCGGTTGCGGATCCGTTTACCTACAAACGTAGCAGGAAAAGAGAGAGAATACGGAAGTGATCGCATTCTCTAAAGGAACAAGCCTTCCTACATTTGTTCTCGCAAGAGCATTGCTCGCAAACAACAGTCTAACATTGTGTAGACCATGGAAATTGTCAACTGCAACAGCGCTTGATGCTTGGTCTAAATGAAACTAGGAGCAGAAGGCAGGTCCTTAGTTAAGGCGTCCTTGCCGTACCGGCACATGAACTAGCAGGCGCAAATTCATACAGTTCTGTTCGCTGCGGATGATGGGCGTGTCAAGATTGATGGCTACACAAAGCAGCGCACTTTTCTCTTTTTCGGGATGCGACAAGCTTGTATCATATCATTCGCATCGGTCGCTTTCCACCAATTGCTGTCACTTACACGCATCAACAGCTGATCTGGAACGGGCTGGCGGCGCGCCAAACGCAGCCTCACTGACACGCCCCATCATCCGCAGCGAACAAGATTGTATGTGAGTCCCGCTAATCACGAGCTTACAAATCGATTTGATCATTGGCTCCGCCCGCTTGTGAAATGTGAATGTTCCCTCTACCATTCTGCGATTTATTCACAGCTATTATTAGCGTTTTGAACTTTGCTGTTGTTACACATATATTTTCCTCGCCCTCGCGTTCAGCATGCAAATCATTGTATGATTTTTCTCGTATGTTCAAGGCACGAGAACAGTTGGATAATTTGCTGAAGAAACGGGAAGAAGGTCACGAAGAAGGAAGACGATTGGACGATTCCAGCAGACACAATAAATAACGTCAACTTCTGGGTTTTCCAAAAAGTTCCTTAATGAAACCCATTAACCCATTGCTTTCCTGTACTCATAAATAATGAATGGTGCCTAATTTTGAACCTTTGAATTTGGTTTCAATAACTACTTTGTTTATTTTTTGTATAAAGACGTTGATGACACAATCTAGCAGCGGCTATTGTTGAACATTGATCGTATTGATTGCTTATGTTCTGCATTAATTACTTCTGGCAAACCTAATGTGGCCCAATATATTTGAACATACTCCCCCTTGACTGTTTAGTTATTTGCAAGCTGTTTATTCGTTACTCGATAACTTAAATCTGGTGCTAACGTAGTTGGAGGGGGCCACGCGGCTCTCGGCCAGTGATGACTCATCGATCGATAGCAGCGTTGACATACTAATCTAGCAGCAAAATTAGAATAAAACAAACAAGACTCACCGGAAACTTGCTGAGAAATCCCACAGAAACTGAAAACAACATTGTATGATCTTTTGTAGTCAAGAACAGCGGTCTACAACAAAAAAGCGCAAAAAAGTTTAAGGCAAAATTCCCTGTCCACAACTGTTTTTTTCGCATTCTTCAGAGTTAACTGTTTTATCTTTTGAATATAGCTAGGACAATCTTATATCTATGTCCTAAACATGAAAAGAAGAGTCGATGAGTCATCACTGCGGCGAGGAACCTAGGCGTGGGCCCCACTCCAACATACGTTAGCACCTTAAATTTAATCGGTCTCTTTATTCCCGTCAGTAACCGTGACATCAAAAAAATTCATTCTTGTGATGAAACAACTGCTGTAAGATACACAAATTCCTTATGATTACCTAATAATAAGTGAACGTTGAAAGAATAAAAAAGCTCTCACCCAAAATATTGTACATACAATTTCTGCACAACAAATACTTTAAAATGAAGATCTTCATTTTATCAAAAGCTCTTTGTGACCCTCACTGGTGATCGTCATGGACCCATCCAATCATGGGTCCAGCATTTGTTCCGTCTCGGTCTTTGCTGGTTCCTGAAAAAGGAAGTCGTATTTATTTGCGTGTAAGAAACAAATCAACAATCCTGTTTTCGGGTGGGACTCTAGCTGCAGCCTACTCATAACTAGAGAGGTTAGAAGATCTGAGATGGGCGGCGGGGAATGGCTAATTTATCGTAAAAGGGCGGATGTCCTGACCCGCACCCTGGTCTGACAGGGAAATCACTCTAGAGCCCCTCGAACGTGATACAAAGGCTCGAATGTCATGGCTCTCACGAATAAAGTTACCTGATCAAAGATGAGAGCTATATATCCATTCATTACAGAACAGCTCACAGTAAATCAAGCAGGCGACAAAAGACTTTTATCCAACCTCACCTCAGATCTTTTTTTCATTAATTGACGCACCAGCACGACTGATGAATGAATAAGAAGACAAAGCCAAAGAGAATGATTACATGGCGCCGATTATAATGCACAAGAAAACGCGTTCATTAAAATGTAGTGTTGAATAAATAGTTCTACCGAACTTAATATGTAATCCGTTATTCACAAAGAAAAAACGGGAAAAAACCCGGCATCTACTCACTACCCCCGCAGTCGCAGGTGTTTTGTGACGAGGAATCCGATCACAGCCAACGTTTCCAGAACATAGATGAATGTGGCCAGAACCTAAATGTTCTAATGTTTATCACGAGAACTTCGCTTGGTTTGTCTGGCCCGGGCAGAAGGTAACTGGACATTTTCACTTCTACACGAGTATTCCATTGCCGTCGCGCCGGGGAGCGGGTAGGTCTACTTGTGGCACGTTCCTCACTGGCCCTCTCCCTCTAAGATTCTGTTAGTGGGCCAGACATAGGTATGAAAACAGAAGTTATCACAACAAGTATTAGAACAAGAACTTCTCATGTTCATATGATGTAACGCAGGACTCTTGCAGATCACCTCTGCTAAAGGGCTCAGTCACGCTCTGTGCTGCCTCGAGGGTGATGTCTGGGAAAGTATTCCATCTTCAGTAATGCTGGGAGGAAGGTGGGTTAGGCCAGCGGCAGCCAGTCGCCAGCTTCCACCAATTGAGCTCGCAGGTCAGCCTCCACAATTGGTGGAGAGCAGGGTGGCACCGCACCAAATCCAACACCTCTGAAACGCTCCAACGTTCGCAGCTAAGAAATCTTCGAATTAGAACGTATTAGCGCTTACCTTTCGATGAAAATGAGATCCGAGAAAACTTCCTATGGGAGCCAGCGTGACTGCCACAGGAATGGTAATCTTGATGTAATCGAGTGCCAACTCGGAGACACCATCTTCCCATACAACGCGATAGTAGACACCAATTATCGAATTCAATCCTGGATTGTGGGTTTTAGTTGACAAGCGTTCATAGAAAAATAATGAAAGGTAGAATAGTAAGAAAAAGTCCCCTTGCTGGAATGTACCATGCTCTTAAAACTTATACGAGACCACAGCGAAAGTTCTGTCCGGCGAACTTGGCAAATAACTGGGTTTTCAGGGCCAGCAAGTCTATAACATGGACGCTGTTCACGCTGATCCTGCTGGTAGTCATGTTGCAGTAAATATATTTCCCTTCCTCAACAGTTCGTGCGCATCTTCTTCTGACCATAAGACAGTAATGATCAAGGGTAAACAAAGAAAAACACAGAACGTCTCCGCCCACATGCTCGCATTAGTTCCCTTGTTGCTTGAACCTAATGGCAGGGTTCGCTAACCAAGATCTGTCTCCACCCATCCCTTATGGTTAGTGCAAACACAAGTGAACACCTATTGAGGCACGTTCTATGCTGATCACAAGGGAGGAGCCACTTGAGACCTCTATTTTCCTCATTGGTGCGTCGGGTCTGCCTGCAGTTTTAGAAGATGGCGCCAATCATCAAAAAAAGCGTGGTAGTAGGAGTGAACGCTGAAATCGAGCAGCGGAATAGGCCGTCGAATTTTGAAGTCC